CCCCGTGACACAGTGGTTAAGTTCGCACGTTCCGCTTCGGCGGCCCGGGGTTCGCCAGTTCACATCCTAGGTGCAGACATGGCACCGTTTGGCAAGCCATGCTGTGGTAGGCGTCCCACATATAAAGTAGAAGAAGATGGGCACGGATGTGAGCTCAGGGCCAGTCTTTCTCAGCGAAAAGAGGAGGATTGGCAGCAGTTAGCTTAGGGCTAATCTTCCTCAAAAAAAAAAAAAAAGAAAAAAGCTAATTTAAAAAGGCAAAAAAATAAGTGAAGGGTACACTCAAAAAGTACCTGTAGATTAACTCACTTACCTAGAAGCACTAAGTTCTGCAGAGTCTCAGAATGATCCACATAGTCTCGAAGAGTGAATGAAACTGGGGGCAATGGGGGGGCTGCAATGATCTGCACAGCCTCCTCCTCGGAAACTGGCTGCAGTGGAGACAGCGGAGGCAAATCGTCCAGTCCTTTAAAGCCAGCCACGTGGAAAGAGAGAAGCAAGTTAGCTCTCCATTCTGTACACCGAAAGCTATTTCTACCAAGACAGGCTCTTCCCTACTTTGCTTCTTTTTAAATCTTGGGATCACTTCAGAATTAAACATTTAAGAAGTCCAAATATTTTCTACCTCCTAAGAGGTAAGCTTAAGACTATTACAGATCAACTACTGTTCCTCCAAAATAAGAAATCTGTTGATAAATTTCTACTCTATAAGGAAGAGTCCTGTACAAAATTCCTTTCCTTTTCTTCACTTTTAATCGGTAAGAATGCTAAAGACCAAGTGACCTTCAAGTACATTTTGAGAAAGAGATTGAGTCTACCATAGCTTGTTAACTTAGCCAAAAGTACAACATATTCTACCAGCCTGAATTGTATGGGTTAAAGTCGTAACATCCTGAAATGTCTTTGTCTTCATCCAATCCCCTCTCATCCAAGTTATCAAATATGTCTTTAAGAAGACTTCCATGATTCTATTTCTACCTCCTGTAGTCATTCGGTAAGTGACCCTCTCTAGTACAGCCTTGATTCTGAGATTTTGTTGTTTTGTTTGTTTTTTCTTAATCAAACACAGTATGGAAGACACTGGGAACTGCAACCTACCTTACTCAGGATTGTGATTTTTCTGTCCTATTTTTTGCCTCTAATCACTACCCTTTCTCATTTCTTATTGCCAGCCTCTCCTCCCTGCCTCCCTCTCTCCAGCTTGCTTTCTTTCATATTCTATTTAACCCAATATTATCTAATTTGCAGTGAAATAATCCTTGCATAGGAATATTCCTACAATAGAAAGCACAGAAGTGAGAGGAATGACTAAAAGGTAACATAAGAGAGCTTCTAGGGGTCATATAACTGTTCTATTTGTTGACTGTGGTGGTTGTTACACAACTAACTGCCTATGTCAAAATTCACAGAACTGTATACCAAAAAAGGAAGATTTTTACTTGACGTAAATGATACTCTAAGAAACCTAATTACCACCAGAAAAAAATTTTTTACAGAATCTAAATAATAAAGTATTTAGATGCAAACATTATATATATAGGTATAAAATAATCTTATATACACTAACCTACACACTTTTTTTCTTAGTCGGTAAAATAAAGATATAACAGAAGTAAACGATTAGAACTGACATTGTTCTTTTTCTTGCCTGGTACAAAGTATGACTTGAAACGGGCTAACAGAATGTAAACAGGTAGGTTGTTCAAACTACCAGAATGGGGCAAAGGGGACTTTTTTGAAAGCTCAGAATTACCTTCTAGAGACAGCTCAGAATCAAAGTTGGGTGTCTTTTGTGTCTTCTGCGACTGTTCATTCACGGAAGGAAGCAGAGTGCTTCGGGCAGAATTACTCTCTTGCCTACCGGAGTTGGCCGACTGGCAACCACTCCACATGGAGGAAGTCCTGTAAGTCTTAAATCCCCACTGGAGAAAGAAATTGTCAGAGGACATCTGAGGCTGAGCAGAAAAGCCACACAACAGAGTTTTCCCAGCCCTCTGAGAGCACTGTCTGAGTTGTGGAGCAGTAATGACGCTAATCAATTTAATTGAGTTGAACCATCTGGGTATCTGTTGGGCTGATAGGGCCATTTTTCTTAAAGTAGCCTACAAAGGAAAAATATAATTGTCAAAAATGAGAAACTTACTTTACTTAAATGTTTAAAACAGTATTCAAACAACAAAAAGATAAACTAGAATTTTTTCCTAATTAAAAGGTGTTTAATAAATTTAGATGACAAAGTAGTCAGATATTTCTTAAACACAGGAAAAGCCAAAAACAAGGTAGTCTCAGTTACAAACCGAAAGACAGGAACTTCTAAACTGGAAAAATAAAGATATGCTTTACAATTTACAAGCAAAAAGCAAAATCACTAGTATAAGAAAAACACTTAAAAATCTGTAAATGTTCAAATTACAGCTGAACCCAATAATCTGTTAATTTAATAATTTACAGAAAATAAGGTGATGCAATTCAGTGTTCTTGAAATTTGGTTTGAAGGAGGTTTAAGAAGCAGACTGCTGATCAAAATAACACTGAATTATTCAAATCCATTTTATGTGTATACATTAGACACAAAAAAACAGGAAGACATCTATTTTGTCTTAAATGAATCACTGAAATATTATTATTGCTATCTAGAAGGTTGTTTCTTGCTTATCCTCAGGGCTGAACACAATTGTTTACTTCACAGATAAAGCTGTTCCTCAAAAGGGAATTGAACAAAACAAGTTTTGTCAAATTCTGTTTGACTGCAGAAAAAAAGAGAAAGAAAAGCCTTCAAAAACAAAAAAAGGTCAAAATGAAGTCACAGAAACGCATAAGCAACCAGCAATGAATTCATGTATACTATCACTGAAAAAGCAATTGTTTTTAAAAAGACTTTTTAATCAAGAAAGGCTGTCGTTACTTTAAACTCCAGGAATATGAAGGAATTTTACATTTAGCCAGCTTAAATAAAAAGGTAAATTTGATGTATATAATTTTACTGTAAATAAGATAATCCATATAAAACACAGCATGGAGTCCAGCATATGGAAATGCTCAACAAATGTTAGCCATTATTATTATTGATTACACAACCAAATATAAATGAATTCTGCTGAATTAATTGTTGCATACAACTTTTTGCTTTGGTTTTTCTCCATACTGGAATTCAGCTTGTTTTATGTTCTGAATTAGGCCAAATTCTTTAGGGTCTAACCTCCTCTTGGAGATATGTAGCTTAGGGAGCCTCCTGAAAGAGATTTATAAAAGTGGAAGTCTCACTGTTATTCTGAACTGATTTTAGAAAGGCAATAGGTATTCACAATAGTTTCGTGGGATAGGTGATTTTTGTTAAATTTTGGTAGAAAATGAGCCTCCAAATCTGTCAAGTTTTCCCTCAAACCTACAACATTCATTCTCTGCACACCAAAGTCACAGGTCACTAAATTGGAAGCCAGAAAACCTCAGTTATGCTACCTTGACAAGACTAAGTTTCTTGAGTGGGCTAGCACAATGACTGGCCCACGATGGGGCTTCAATAACCATTCCTTAAATAACCATTTTTTAAAAAGGTTACGGGTACAATTAGATAATTCCTAAGGTCCCTATAGGCTCTAAAACGTTTTGACTTCTAAGTTCATCTAGCATTTTGTCGTACTTCAAAGCAAACTCCTGAAATCCCAAATTCACTCTGAAGCTTTTCCAGGCTCAATACTCCTCCCACATCAGACAGATTGCCTTTGGAATTCAATCCATATTCATTAAAAGACTTTTATGCATACAACTGTTTATCCTTGTATTTTTATTTACAAGCGCACTATCTTCTCTGCATCACCATTTCATTGCTGTGTGTACCTCTTAACAACTGGTTAACGGTTCGTTCACGAAAGCACGGCTGGGTCTCATCTCTGGATCCACCCACTCAGCAACTATTCCCCCTTAGCCCAGAGCCTTGCACTGCCCCAAAGTTTGTAGAACGGAAACGATTCCATTGCAACAATGGTTAACTCATTTGCCTACACGGTATTCAAAAGCGGGTTAGGTATGCACAGATGTGTATAGAAGCCCTACGTAGTGATGTCTTCTAACACGACTCTTTCATCAGGAAGATAAAAGAAAAAAGTCTTAATTCATAAGTCCATTGAAATGTCATATACCAGTTCTCAACTGTGTGCTTTACTACTTGGCTAGGAATATGAATTAGCATTGAAATACTGTTTTTCGAGAGTTCAAGATTTCTACCTCTGTACGGCTGATAAATGAAAGCAGGAGCTGAAAAGGGGGTGGGAGGATGGCTTCGTAATAAGGGGCCTCTCATCTACCGCTCGCCGCCCTCCCGAGGCCAGTTTACTCCATTTCAGTTCCCCACACGGAACTTCCGCAGGAAGACAGCTGACACGGCGGACCTCCTTCCGCGTCCTCCGCAAAGCGCGCTAATAAACCCGCGGGGTCGCGTTTTCGTCTCGTCAGTCAGGGAAAAAATAAAACAAAATGAGTCACCCCGATTGGGCCGCGAAGACCGAAAGGCCATGAGGCTCGGGGGAGCGGCCTGGACGCAGGTGGACGCGGACCCGAACCCCAGTCGCGAGCGCGCCCCCCGCGCTCCGGCGGCTCCGGCTTTACCTGTGGCGAGGCCTGTGCCTGGCGGTCTCTCTCGCGGCAGCTGCGGGGCTGACACGCCCGCGCGGAGTGTCCGGCCGCGCTGCACAGCCGCTCGTCTGCCGGCCCGGCCGGCGCGGCGGCGCTTCCTAGCCCACGTGGGCTGCGGCCGGAGTGGGCGAGACCATCTGCGGGGCCGCGCGGGAGGAGACAGGGCGGCTTGCGGCGGAAAGAGCAGGCCAGGGGGCACGGCTTCGCTTCTCCTGCTTGCCGCTTCCCTCAGACCTCGTCCTCTTGGCATCTAAAGACACCGTGAGACCATAGGGAGTCCTCTTCCAGGACGCCAACTAGGGCACGGCCGGCGGCGTCCCCTGCCCGAGGCCGCGTTGGTGGCGCCGCAACCCCGCCTTCCCGCGCCCGTCCTTCCCTGGGCGCCCAGGCTTTGCTCCGCGCCAGACCCGTCCCCGCCGCCCGGCCTCCTCTCCTCCGTCTGCGGCTCGTCATCTCTGGGGTCCCAGCCTCCACGGGCCGGGACCACTGCCGCCGCTGCAGGACGGGGAGGCGGGCCATGGCGTCCTGCGTGGGGAGCAGGACCCTGAGCAAAGATGATGTGAACTACAAGATGCATTTCCGGATGATCAACGAACAGCAAGTGGAGGACATCACCATCGACTTCTTCTACCGGCCGCACACCATCACCCTGCTCAGCTTCACCATCGTCAGCCTCATGTACTTCGCCTTCACCAGGTGTGACGGCCAGGGTGCGCGGGGGTCGCGATCTTGGGCGAAGGGAAAGGGCGGGCGGGAGGTGGTGGCGGGGAGCGTGGCCCGGTGTGGCTTCTGGGTGAGGAAGCGGGCTAGCTGCTCCAGGCACACACTCGCAGACCCGCTGCCCAAGCAGCTCCTCCAGCGGCCCAGTGTCTCCCAGCACACCCAGCTTCCTCCCCTACAGCTCCTCTGGACTAGCGTTCGCCCCTACCCCCCAGGCCCTAGCCCTGCGATACTAACTCTCCCATACATCGTCTCGGGCCACATCAGGAGCACTCGCGGGTCACCCAGCACGCTCGTCACCCCATGCCCCCGAACTCAGCATCGCCCCGCACACACATCACGACACGGCCCCCTCCTCTCCAGCCCCCGTCCCTACCCGGAACACCGCATGAATCATCTTGGATGCACCACTTTCCGCACATAGCACCACACAGAAAACACCCCAGTCCACAGCGTCTACATGCACCCTACACAGGCCCAGGACACAACCCAGACCCCTTCCACTGGAACTCCTCCGGTATTCAGCACTACTTGCAACGCACAAAATGCACATGGGAGGTGCACCACACAGTCTTTCCCATGCAGCACCTCCTGTATACACTGCACACATATCATCTGGCATTACCCTTCCCCCAGCCTCAAACACGACCATCTATACCACAGCACAACCTGCCGCTATAGACACGCATCACAGCGGACCTTTCTCCTTCCAGCACAGCCAGTATCCATCACCTCTTGTGTACATTGCTGCACAGACACCAACCCACCACACATCACACTGTGCACACCCTGCCCTGTTCATCACCTAACATACATGCTGAAATGAGAGATCGTCAGGCAGTTGTAATGGTGCCTGGTGCGTAGTAAACACGATGGAAGTGTTCAACAAATAAAACACATAAACTTTACAATATAACACAACTCTCCTATCCCACTGAAAACATTCACACACACATACAAACACATGCTCAAGGCACTTCTAATATGTATCTACTTAGGCATAGCAGCTACCCAGCCTGACTCTTGACCCACACGTCATGCAACTCTACCTCACTGAACGTGTGGCCCCTCAACCCCAGCCCAGGGAATGGATTCATCCCTGATTCATAATGATACACATGGTTCCATAATGATGCCATGGTTCCTACTTACAAGGATTTATATTTTCTGAGTGAACCTCTAAAGAAAGAAAAAGCATGCCTTCCATTCCATTATGGCTTAAAAGACCAATCCAGAGAACTATAGTTTTGGAGCCAGACTGTTGGTTTCAAGACTAGCTGTGTGTCCTTGGTTAAGTTACTTAACCTTTCTCAGAGTCTCAGGGTCCACACCTGTAAAATAGGAATAAAGTATGTACTTATCTCATACGGAGTTATGAAGATTAAAAGAACATGTATGAATGCACTTGGCAGAGTACCTGTTGCACAATTAATGTGAGTTACTTCTCTCCCAGTATTTTTATCTGATAATCAATGGTTCTCAGTCTATGTCAGCAGAAAACGTACAGGAGTATATTGGGTGATCACAAGCATTGGGGGAATTTCTGGCATTTAGCAGGTGGCGGTTAAGGATGCTAAATGTATCACAATGCATGGGACAGCATTGTACAACAAAGAATGAATTGTCCCCTATACACACGCATGTTCACATACACACACACAGAAGTGCCATTGGTGCCTCCCTTGGGAATCACTGCAGTTTTCATATTTTCATAAAACCGGTAATATCCTCTCACATCACACTTGTTTCTCACCTCCATAGTTCATTTGACTCTTGGGTCTTATTTGGTAAGTGTTTATCTATCTGCATGAATCTACCTAAAGCTATGAAGCATATGTAGCAATTACTTACTGTTAATTGAGGAATACAGCTAGTATTTTTGTAAAGTCTTCTGCTAATGCTGTGCAGTGAGATACGATCTTTCCACAGTATCCAACCAAGAACGTATGTGTAGCTTTGGAGAGAAATCAGTCTTGTCCCTAGTTTTCATTACCCTCAAATACTTCATCATATCATCTGATTTTACCACTTAATTTTTGTGTGGCCGTTTAATTTTGCTAAGCCTCCGTTTCCTTATCTGTAGGTAAAATGAAAATATCTAGTAATACCTCATAGGATTGTCTGTCATGAGGGTTCAGTTCATTTTTTTAGATAATCTGTGTTTAGCTTGGAGCATGACAAATAGTAAGTGCTCAATAAACATTGGCTATTGTCATTGTTACATCATTTCATTGTATTCTAATGTCTTCTAAATTATATTTGGCATTAAGTGAGGACGTAGTATGCTCTATAATTGAGACAAAGCAAAGGCTTTGGAAAAATGGACATTGCTTTGCTTGGATAACGTACATGCCTGTTTCATCTTAACTTTAGTTTAACTTCATCTCATATGTGGGTTGGCAATAGTGGAATTAGTGCGGAAATTTCTTTGGAAATTAGAAAAGTAATTATGGTATTTTATTTTAAATAATGAGAAGCAAGAATGAGCAGTGTGTTTTAAACTTTTATCTTTAATATTATTTCATGCCCTTTCAGAGGAGATCTCTCTTCCTCTTTTCTAATACAGAAAGTCACATTCTTTTGGAATTTCCCTTTTACAGCATATTCTGCCAAAGCAGTTGATAAATTGCAGCAGTGATAGTATAAGAAATGATTTGAATTTTAATAGCTTGTCAAAAGTGATAGGCATAATCTAAACCTCAGACTATGGCCTTTTCCAAAAATGATAATAATCTTCTTTCTTCCACTAATTTCGTAAAAAGAAATCACATATTGAAGAACTAATTAATAACAAGCTTCACCTTATATAAAATCGTAAGCACCACTAATGCAATTAGTTCTTACTGTATCTTACCCCATTTTTTGTAATGATTTGTGAACCCGTAAAGTGGGATATTACCGTGTTAGCTCTATTTTCCTCCATAGAGATCGAAAATAATGACTTCTTAAATGCAAATTATTCATTCTGTGCTGTTTCGTAATGATCATCTCCAGCACCTCAGGCTTATTTTATAACAGGATTTTAGATGACTGTTCAGTGCAGTTCTTTCAATAAAACTTTTAAAATATGTCTTAAAGTTTGTTTTTCAAAGACGAGGCATCTAAGAGACAGGGAATAGAATACTTTGGGGATGTCATATTACCAGTATGTGAGAAGCAGTGCTGGGTCATATCACATGCTGCAGAGACACAGCAAGAATTTAGGATTGTGAAGGATTAGGTACATTGCACTGAAGTCTAACACAAGTGGGGATTTGTCAAATAGTTCTTTTGCTAAATAGCAACTAGGCCAACTCACCGTTGCATCATAGCACTTGAATCTCCTGTCCTATCACTGTCAGTAACAATAAAGCCAGATGCTATCGAATCATTTTCCCCCAAGATTTGAAAAAGCTCATTTTGCCACATTTTAGAATAAGTGTTTTTATAAATTAATTGCTTTGGCGTATGTCTTATAAGTTTGTTCAGCCAAAGTAGGGCAAGGAGAACCTTTGCTTAGCTCAGAGTATAATAATTACTGAGGGACCTCATATTTACTCTGCTTTCAGAGGTTGGTAAACTTGGAAACATTGAATGGCCTTAGTTTTAAAAACTGAAGCTATGGATTTAAAAACACCAAAACCTACTAATCATATCCATAGGAGCCAACCCTCTCCTTAAGAGGGACCTGGCAATAAGACAGTGGACTCAGCCTCTCCTGTTGCACTGGTCCAACCACATCATGACTTGCCTAGAAGAGATTGACTTCCTGAGCTTGCTGTCCCTAAGTGCTTATCAACTTGTCTATGCTACGTTTCTCCTTGATGTGGCACTAAGGAGATGGACAAGGGCAGGGAAAGGGACAGGTTTTTTATTTATTCATTGTTATCTACTTGTTAATAATGATTTTTATTTCAATTCCCTTAGTGGCTTTGGAGTTCCAGTTTGTCATCATATCATTGAGCTTTCTGTGTCACTCCCCTCATGGGGACCTGCAGGCCTTCCCTATTCTTTCCCTTTAGACCATATAAGTCCCATTAGAAACGTTTCCTGATATTGCTGATTCAGTTGTCTTGGTCCTGTTTCCTTTATCTACATCATGTTCTTTCTCTCTCAATAACAGAAGGTCCGGATGTCCTTGTTCCCTGACACCAGCTATATTAAGTGATTGTCCGAAGTGGCTGTGTACTGGGGTTAAACCAGCCCCAGAGGTGAACACCATCTTAAGTGGCACCTCTCTCTAAAGAGGTCTGGTTAAAAGTGATCTTAACATTTCTCTTCCCCACTTCTATTTGAATCATATTTTTTATTGGATTTAAATGTCTCTTTTGGTATCCTTTCTTATACTTATTTCTGGTGTTTTATGTCCCTAATAAGATTATAAACTTACTGAAGGGGGAAATGTGCCATTTATTTCTTTGGGGTCTTCTGTAGTAAAAAGACAATGGGTGACTTCAATATTTATTTGCTTTAGATGATGCTTTACCTCAGAGAGATTACATGCCTTGGAATTGCTGCCTGGTGTTTAGCATTTTAGATACTTATTTGTGATATAATCCCTGTAGGCCCAGATTTCTCTAGGGAAGTTAGCAGTTTTTTCAGTCTAACGAATCCAGAAACGGGGACTCGTCCAGTCAGCTGGGACTGCTTCATGAAGTCAGCCGGGACCGCTTCCTGAGCCCTCAGCCCTGGCATCCCATTTAATTCAGTTCGACAGTCCAACAGTCCATGTTCTACCCCAGCCCCTGCCAACATAGAGTTCCTCTGGTTTATGTCTTCCCCAGGTCTGATTGGGCCTTTATAGCTTTCAGAGCTGTTCTCCTCTTCCCATGCCTGGGCCTTAGCTCAGTAAACCCCCAGCCCTTTGGGATAGCATGTTCCCAGGCCTTGACTACATCTCCCTCGAGTTCATCTTCCACACTGCTGCCCTCGTGGCCTTTTAAAGACAAAATCATGATCCCAGCTGTCCCCTGCTTACAGTCTATCACTGGATTCCC